ATTGGTGATTTGACTGTGCCTTTAGATACCTTCCAAAATGTAAAACTTATATTGGCTAAACAGGTTCACGAGTTCTGAACATCAGCCCTAGGAAGCTGCACAAAACTGTACATGCAGTTCTCCCTTCTTCACTCTATGGGTTGGGCAAGAAGAGGTAAGTAGGAATTGAAGACTTTCCACCCAGTCCCCTTATACCTTTTACAGGGATCTAGTACATTATATTTCAAAGGCCCAGAAAGCCGTGTTCACTTCCAGGACTCATCCTGCGCTGAATAAAATGCAGCAGTGACATTTCACAGAGGTGAGCCTCAAGGCTCAGCATAGCTTGTAGCGATTTCTCTGGCAAAATTTCACTATCATTTTGTGCAAATGACTGTAATGAGCAATCTTTTTATCTGTACTACCAAAGCTGCTCTTCTTTTGAGTGCATATAATTTCTATTAGTATTAATGGGAATGTCACACACACACATAGGAGGCTAGAATGGGCCCTGAAGTGTTCTAACTGTAATATTAATTTCTCCTTGTGGGTGACTTTGCCCTCATGACAATAATAAAGCTATGGTGATTTATAAAAAGCAAAAGGTCTCTTGAAGGTTGGTAGACACTGTTATTCTAAACCATTAACTTTGTAAATTTCCATTCAAATGCCTAAAAGCTGATAGCTGGTACATACATGTGCAAGATTCTAAATGACCGGCTGAAAATACTGTCTAGGCCTTAAAAAAATGTTTAACAAGCAAAAGACACAAAACCAATGGGAGATGTGCTGTTTAGTCATCAAGGCAAAATCGTCATTTTGCAAGATCCCATCATTTATCATTTTCTAAAGAATTCTGCTTTTGCAAAGGGTGTTAGTTTATGACCTAAGTACTAGCATAATTAAAGCCACTACATACCATACACTTTCAGGTACAGGAGTTTAACATCCATGCAATGAAAATCCCCACAACCATAACCTTAAAAAAAAACATCCTCATGAATTTAGAGTAGCTCAACAAAACCAGCATACTCCAAGGTAAGCAGATGCATTCTGAGTCTGCCCAGAATTACTGCCCAATTCAGTGCTTTGGGGTACCCTGCTGTGAAAGACTGCCTGTTAAATGAGATTACCAAAGTTTATAGGCATTCATTTACCCTAAATACTTAAAAGTTTCGTACAAGATCATCTATATTTAAATAAATAGAGAAGCGCCAATTGTTATGACAGACATTCCAACTGTTCTCATAACTCAGTACTGCTCAGTCTGCAAGCAAACTTCAAAGTTGTTCAAGGAATTTTTCCACTGTTTCACATTTGTTATGCACTAACCATTTGAGAAAAATTTCTGCAGATGGAAGAATTTAGCCCAAAATGTAATACAAATCCTGGAAGATAACAGACTTAGCGGTAAATTAAAAATGGAATAAAATCTAACATGGATTTAAAGGAGTTATAGGATGTAAAGAAAACCTTGCAGGTATTTCTATTAAGATAATTTCCAGATAAAGAAAACGCGAAGAATCTTGTTTGATCTACATTTATTTCGATACCACAGAGTATCCTTATTGAATTGGAGATGATAAGGACAGTGGTAAGAAACCAGTTAAAGACTGAACAATGGCAATTTATGTTCTAAAAGAAATAGACCGGAGACTGGAGTTCCTCACTTGACAGTCCCAGGGTCATTCATTCCTCATCTTGCAGAAGCAGAGAGAAAACCTCAGCACAGAGGAGAAGCAGAATCTCATGACCTCAGACTGGGACAGTAACAGTGGGTGACATTCAGCAGAGCAAACTTCAAGGCTATGCTCTGAGGTAGGATTACTAAGAGCATATGCTATAAACAAGGAGTGCAAGAGCTGAAAAGAAGCCAGCCTTGAATATTAGCCAAATGCTGGCCAACTATGAATTGCTAGCATGACACACTCAAGAAAAAGACAAAAGCAATGCAGGCTGTAGAAAATGAAGCATTTCCAAAGAGATGGGAAAGTGCTAATGATTTTGTAGAAACCTGGCAACAGCTTATGCTGAGCAAAGTGCATAAGTATGGCAATAGTTGTTCAAAGGAAGATTCACCTAAGCTGCAATGGATGCAAAGAGCATTACACAGATAAGTAAAGAAAAAAAGAGATGAAGAGGCCATGGTTATTTTTTGCCTACTGAAATGTCAGCTGAGTGAGGGAAGACTTTTCTCTATAAATACATCAGGGCCATACTAATGAGGGGAGAAAAGAACAAAGTTAAGAAGTAAGAGATAGGTATAATCAGGACATGAACCAGTTCAGCCTTGAAATCACAATAATATTTCATTGGAAGAGTGAGTGCCCACCAAGATTCTTCTGTCAGAAATGGTATGACAAAGCATCGCAATCTTAAGACAGAGAGGTTCACGTTATGAATCCTTATTATGGATTGTAGCAGGTCCTATCCTGCCAGGACATGATGACCCAAGAGCTTCAGTTGCATAGAAGCTTAACAGTGGGAAGAAAGTTGGATTTTTAAGAGATTACCAAAATCCTGCTCTTCTGGAGCAAGCAGCTGTGCATGAACTAAGCTATTTACACAGAGAACACACCAAGAATCAGGATGTTGATCTCCTCTCCTAACCGAGCGGCTGGCACAGCTCTCAATATTGCCACGGCTCAGCAGAACAGCAATACTGGTGTCAGATGACAGACAAAGTGGCAAACTTCCAGAGACAGTCATGTATTACAGCATTTGTGCAATAAGTTAGGAAGGCTGTAAATCAACTGGAGATCCTCTGAAATGAAGCTCTTTAGAAATATAAAATCACTGTCATGGGCTGAGGATCTAGGAAGGGAAGTCATTCATTTGGGCTGTATTTCATAATCCTCTGCTATCAGACTTATGTTGTACTTTCCCCTCTCCTAATTGACACTGCAAATGTACCTTCCAGATGGCTACTGCAAGGCATGTAACATCCTGTACCACTTTTACAATACCTGTGGGAAAAAATTAATTAGATCTAAGAAATTTTTGCCTCAGTTCTCAACTCCGCCACAACTCCAGTGTGTGGCCACAGGCAAAATAGCTTATTTTCTTTATACTTGTTTTCAAAAAAAAAAGGAAAAAGATAACTTCTCTCTAAAATCATTTATATTTTTTGTCAGCCTAGATAAGAACATCTCAGCAAAGGGGTTTTACTATGCCTTTGTACATTTCATACCAAAATAAATGAATAGATACCAGATATGGGTCAGCATTACAAAAGTAAAAAACAAAAATGAACTTCACTAATGATATTGTTGAATACATAGGCACAGAAATGTTAGAATTATTTAAGGTAATTTTAAAATTTAATCATAAAATTAAAACAATGAAAAAAATAGGAATGTTGAGCTAATTAGGGCAAGCAGAGTCTACTAGGTGGAATAACTGTTTAGCTGCCCAAACAAAGACCAGAAAATTTCTTGTTTACTTATCACCAAACACAATGACCACTATGATCCCAGCTGCAATCAAATACATAATTGAAAATGAAATAACCAGAGAAATCAAAACCAAAACACAGGGTCAGACCTCCCCCACCACTCATTTCAATGAAATTAACTGCATGAACACTCCCACTCACTCCAGAAAATCAAAAACTAACAATTATTATTCTGAATATCCTCACATTGCTGATGGGATCTTTCCCATAAACTAGAAAGCTGTGCACAATGACCCAAAATAGTCCAACACACGCTCAGTATTTTTGGCATTTTGGGGTACATAAAAATTGGTTGCACATTGTTTTCCTCATATTTACATAAAGCATAACAATGAAGTCAGTAACTAGATTAGCATGAGTTCATCTGAATGATATCCATCTGCATCACTGCATTTTAGTTTGTTCCAATGCCTCTTAAGTCACAAAATGATGTAACTGGGAACAGACTGGCTACATTTTCACCTCTACTTACTGTTCTATCTATGAAGACTGATCACAAAAAAACTGTAACAGGAAAAGAAGAAAAACAGTATGAAACGCATGTACAATAATAGGGAACAATTACGTGTCACAAAATGTAACCACTTGGAAATTCAGACTGTCAAGAAACTGGACATTTAATTATTATAATCATTCTAAACAAGAACTAATTGAAAGTGAAGATCCATTTTTATCTTGAATTTTGCTCATGAATTTTAAGTATGTTACCTATTAGGATATAACCAAAGCTATGAAAATCCAAACAAATTACCCCCTCTTCCAGCAAGTCTTCTTTATGCAATGTAAGCATGCTCTCCTTTTTTTGAGGCATCTGGATGAATATTTCTAGCTAATGGCTAAATTCTTTTCCATATCTAGATTCAAAGAGGCAAGGAATATGTATATACTTTGCTATTCCCCTAGAGAATGGATTTATTTTAGAACAAGAAAAATCTATGTCTACTTTCAAATTTTGTCTCTTCCTCATGCTTCCCTGCCATCACTTATGAATGTAAAAGTTAAAATACCTAGAACTATCTAAGCAAATAAATATAATTGCACAGATATAAACAAAATATGCCTTACAAATATTGTTACTAATTTATAAGTGCCATCCTTTCACTTTCATACAATCTTGATATTTACTAAATGACAGTTGAAAATACGCTAAGACATCATTTACTAACATTATCCCATCGACATCCTTAGCGTGGGAATCAGCTTTCTATTATTATGTTTTACTGTATGTGAAAATACCTCAGACAAATCCATAGTGGTAGCAACATAATCATTTCCTCTTTATGACCTCCTGGGTTACTTCAATGATCTAAACTCATTTAAAGCAATTTTACAGTTCTTGGCATCACAAAGTTCTACTCTTGGTGCATCACAGAAGTCCAGGTGTGTGTTTTCAAGAACTGCTGTCAGCTGTCAGAATCCAATTGGGAATCCAATGTGCATTTCAGGAAGAAACAAATCTCATTGTTTTTTGTTCTGAAATTAAACACGTACCATCCTGTATGGCAAAACCCAAGTTTGAGAACTACAGCCACAATTGGATGTAGCAGCGTTGTCCTTTTTGCTCACTAATTTTTCAAGTTCAAATAAATAAGTCTCTGTCATTGTCACAAAAAAGGGTCTCTGTGTAATAGCCAAGCAACATGGTTGCACAAGCCACTATTCCTGTAGTGAATCACGGGTTTATTTTTTGCTACCGTGTTACCTAAAAAAGAGAGAGAGAGAGTTACTTACACAGAAGTGATTAAAGAAAAATGATAGAATATGCTTTGATGAAGAAACTGTACATGTGAACACATAGTAAATAAACGTGCTCTGGCCATAACCACATGCTCCATATAACTCGCATAGAAACAGAATTGATAGGGAAAACGTTGACTTTGCTGTTATCCAAGCAGAGAGATTAGCAGAGAAAGATATGACAGTTTACTATTGAATTGCCATCAACATCTCATGGTGATCTCCTCCAGCTTTATTTTGCTCAGGAGATTTTCAACACCAGTGCCCACAACACAAACGTATGGCTTACATCCCAAAGGATCATTCATGCAAGCTGCTACCCATTCCCAGGGGCCCACTTCATGGGAGGAAGCTAGGGCTCAGGCAGAGCAGTGAGCAGAGTGAATGAATTGTTCTTGCAGCATCAGCCACTGCTGGATATCGCTTCCTCCAGGGAATCCAGTGGTCTCTTCCCATTAGAAGTATATGCACACCCAGTCAGGTGCTTCAGGGGTATGCAGGTCTTAAAGCACACAAATGCACATAAATGCTGCTGTGCAAACCCTATGGTGAGAAGGGCTCATGCCAAGTACCCTGTCCCAGAAACGAATGAGAATAGGCAGTTCACAGGGAGGAAATTTTTGTCACTGGTGCTCTCTGGTGCCAGGACATGCTACGAAGTTAAACAGAGGCTTGGTACTGAAAAATACTTATTTCTCTTCATGAGGTAGCTTGTGTAAGAGAGGAGCTCTTCAGCTTTTCACATGTTTAACTGTCAGCCTCAGTTACCCTAACTATTCATCTAAATTCATCTAAATACAAGGAAATGCTTGGGACTCTCCCAAGCTTCATATACTTCAAGTTACTCTAATAATTTTCACAAAATGAAAAGATAGAAGCCTTGAAGTGATTAAATAGCAGTCTATTTCCTATTTTCAACCTCTGAAGCTCACTGCCCAAACCAGCACTAATTCCAAGGGGCTAGATAATCCTTATAAAATTAATTAGAAATTTAAACAGTAAGAAAATCATCTTTGCTACATAGCACAGAAAAAAAATAATGTGGAATGAATCTGAACTCTGGTGTTTTAGGCTTAAGCCAACTGTTGAATCGAAGGAATCTCATGAGGAGTATATTTGCTATAATTGTCCACCAGGTTTTTACTGTCTTTTTCCTCATTTAAGTACTCTAATACTGAGAAAGACAGGCTGCTGTAGTGGTTGGACTACTAGTCATAATCAGATAGGACAGTTCATATAATAAGCTATTTGTGTTTAATACGCATTTTGCTGACTGAATTAGACATTTTCTGCTCATTTTTAATCACAAAATATGCTATACCATGCTTTACTTTTCTCTGTCACAATGTGACCGCTGTACAATTAACCCATTTTCTTTCCTGTTCAATCTTGTACAAGCCACATACTACTGTCCAGAATCTGGAGTTATTATTATTCACTACATTTATACAATACCTCTGTGTCTTGATAGACAGAAAAAAACACACACAACATAAGACGTAAAATATCTATAAAAGAAATACAGAAGCAGAGACAGATTCTGTGACCCAGCGTTTACCATGTAAAAAGACGATACCTATATGTAAGCTTGTCATCAGGGCGTTCCTTAAACTACAGAAGAGGGAAATAGGCTTTCCTTGGGAATGCTTTTTTTTTTTAAACACAGTCACACTGTATGATCAACCATTTCTCTCTATGTGACTCTGGAGAATTCTAAACAATTCAGATGAGGAAGAAAAGTGCCTGCAACTGGTCATAATGAATGCCACCCACAAAACCTTGGATAATTCAAGTCCTTTTACTTGGACTAATAAAGATGACAAACCTCATGATTTCAGACTGATTCTCAAGAGGTACAACATTAAAAGCCTGCTACATGAGTACAAAGATCTGGGCATAGTATGAGACAAGTCCTCAGCTTTTGGAAATGTCACTACTACTGAGAAAATAGCTACATTAAATCCCAACCTCTACATTAACTCTCCTGGGTTAGACAAAGGTAAATGCTTAGACAAAGCCAAAGCCCCAAAATAAAGGGTCAAAACCAAATCACTTAAAAGCAGAACATAAAGCAGTGACTTGCCAGAAGCATCCACATTAAAATACAAACAACAAACAATGGAAGAGTTTATAACAAAGACTGAGAAAAAAGTGAGGGGCTGAAACACTTTTAAAGGGACATTTCCTTTAAAGAAATCTACTACTAGCCTATTCCTTTCTCTAATATAGTCAATCACTAGCTAAAGTTTAGGACTTCTCGTGTGATTTCAGTGCAATGTTAAACCACTTAGTCATTTACATTTGTATGCAGCACCCCAGGGCGACAGTCAGGATTAGGATCTCCTCATGCTGATGCTAAACACATGTGCAAGAAAAGACAGCCCAGTTGTAAGGTGCTTGAATGGAAAAGGACAAAAGGGTACTGAAAGGAAAAAAAAAACATAAGAGAAAAAGCAAAGAGTTCTTTTACTTGTAATATATAAAATGCCTCATATCCAAGCATGAGTGCTCATCGTTTTTCTGATCCTGCCAATTAAATGCTCCTCAAGGCAATCTCCTAATCAGTGCAAAATGCATTTCTCCGGGTTCAGAAATGCAGAGGAAGGCTTTAACGTATAGTAACATTTGCACTCATATTGCTAAACTTTGCCCTCTCTTAGGCCCACGCAAACTCACTGGACTTGAAGAATGTGCACAGATATAATTGAAGGTAGGATGATTTGTATCACGCTTATAAAGACATCCCGAAACTCATAAGAACATATTATCATATTCTGTATTTTAGTGGTTGTATTTTATGTCATGGGTAATAAAATAAATGACCCATGTCAAAATTGCCCTTCTATTAGTAAACTCCCACTGACTCAGGCTGCTTCTTTGCACTTCTTTATGAGCAGGACTTGTGGACAATAGCAATGACTCATCTGGTCAATTGACCTCAGTGAGCTAAAGGCAACTAACTGATCTTAGGAAGGAAAAGACAGCTCTATAGCTGAGGACTTGACACCTCGGGCCTTCAGTTGTCAATGCCAACATAAAGTTCTTTGCTCTACCCTTCATCCCTCTAGTGACTATTATCAGGAATGTTTAAGACCTGCATATTCTTTCCCAATAAAGACCTGTTTCTACAAAGCACTGCTCTTTTCTGGTATGTCCATAAATGAAAGTGTCTTAATCTTTACATAGAACTCCTACTTCACCTGTCTCACCCATGTGTTTGTCATTACCACTTTATCTTACCTATATATAAGAAGGTGAAGTCATTGCCTGCAGAAAATTTTCAAAGGCTGAGGGCAATCTGTGCTTTGCAATAACTGACTGCCAGTCACTCACACTGATTTTAGAGTCGTATATTCTGTGCAGGTCAACTTTCAGCTGCAGGCACAAGAAGTACAGCTGAGGCACTCTACGGACTACATCTCTAGCATTTGATAACATAATGCAGTGATTTGTATCACTGGAACAGGAAATAAGGCTTTTCAGACTCTGGCTTGTTTGGTTGGGTTGCTACTGAGCCTATCACCATGTAATATTGGTGTGGCTAGCTGAAGAGCACCAACAAAACACAGCTGTTCAAATCATGCAATTTTCTCTTTCATACATGATTTAGAACAGTCTTCACTCCTTAGAATACTTATTATTAAACAACATTTGGTGTCAGTATTTGCTTATTAACTCAGAAGGTAACTTAATCAGCAACATTCATTCCCAGCTAGCAGAGGTTACACACGGAAAAGTTGAGCATATGTCTTTGATTGCTATTGCATGCTGAAAACTCTTGTTTTATGATATATTTAGACATGCAGTTCACTATGACTTGATGCACTTTAATGCACTGAGCTCATTTTAGATTGTGAAGCAGACAGAGGACATAATATTTTCTTTCTGCTGACCGTTAATTAAGAAATGAATAGGAAATTTCTTTCAAAAACTGGCTGCCTATAAGATGGTCTGTAATTAGACATGATCTGAGCCACTGATTTCCCATGGTGCACAGCGTTCTGCAGTTCCTCCTGACATCAGTTCAGGTTCTCAGGAACAAGATGAGTCAGGCTACTCCTTTCAAAATCTAAAAGGCTTTCCAGCACAGAAATCTAAATTCCGGTGGTTCTGGTAAAGATCTTGGATCCTTGCATTCTGTTTGCAAATTAAGGAAATGGATCCTAGAAGTCACAGCAGAAGGTTTCTGTGCTCACTAAAGACTGAAGCAGTGGGCTTTGACTGGCTTTCTGAGCCCAGCCAACTGAATTTGGTCAGCTCTTGACACTGAATCACTTTGGAAAGAGGCACAAGCAAGCAAGCTTGGCGATCAGTGTCTGGGACTCACAGAATTATCCTTCCTTTCTTTCCAGATAGGTGCTACTCAGAAACTTGAGGTCCAAGTTCGAGGAAGCAGGGGTCTGCACTCCAGAAGTGCAAGATCCAAACCCCACAAGATAAATCAAGGGCTGAACTATCTAAGAGATGCTCACTATTGTGTGTATCTTACACCAGTGTAAACACAGAATTGGAAGACAGACAGGCCCAAACTGCTGCCTTTGGTTCCTCCTCCTTGACTCCATGACCTGCTGATTTAATCAGGCTGAGACTAAAGAGGCGGCTCTGGCCCAGCATTTTCCTCCCTGAGAACCACTGCACTAATCACTGCTTTGCAAAACAGTGACAAGTCCAATGCTGATGCTCACATCAGCAGATGCAATGCAATAAGCAAGGGTTGCCAGCAGATCTCTGTACTTGCCTTTGTGGTTTTGACTTTATTTCCACTGCTGCAAGACCAACCTGAATAGTCTGGTAGCACTTTACAGTCCTCTCCATCCAAACAGGGGTTCATATGACACCACCACTTCTGTAGGACGATGGAAGCTGGAGAAAGAGAAATAGAAAAGAGAAAGAGAATACAATCTTCTATTACTGTTGTTGCTGATGATTTTAGAAGGGAGGCTGTTGTGCCATGTTTAACTGTTTAACTATTAGAAAAGATAAAACCAATAGTCACCATTATGATACTTACTACCTTATGATCATAGTGATCTTGTTTGAGCTTCAGATGTGGTTCAAAACCTGACCAGCACACAGAAGGGCAAATGGCATGGGAAAATGATAGAGACAGGCAGGCACCTCCAGAGAGCAGTGATTCAACTCTAACACGAGTGGACCTCTGGAAGTGTCTTTCTGTCTCCACTGACTACAGAGGTGACTTGCCTCCTTCATTTCCATGCTTCACGTAAGTACCTGCTGGAAGGTGGTATGAATCTACAGTCTGTTGTTTAACTTGGATATGCATGTGCAAGGCTGGATGGAGGAACATCACTTTCTCTCTTCACTGGGTAAGAAAATAGAATTGCACAGACACATGAGCATGTGAGGTCTGTCAGAGAATAGCACACAAAAAAGAAGTGGGACCACTGAAAAGGAGATGGATTATTAACTAAAAGTCTATTTGCAGTAACATTGCACATTCTGCAATATATTTTGGAAGACTAGAATGGTATATTTTCATTGCGCCAATTCATTAATTTTCTACTCTTAAGCCAACTTCCCTTAATAAGACCACATTTGTTATTTTTAGAAATGCAGTCATGACTTTTTAATACTGTTGATAACAACAGACACATTCCCCCCAAAACTACTGCAAACCCTTGCATGTATTTCTCAGTTCTGCGCTGTGCATGGGATTTATCAAAACACAGAAAATGATTATGAAATATATCAGTTCACAATCTTACATAACCTAAATTGAATTTCAAAATAAAAAATGTATGAAAATGTTGATTTAGTTAGTCTGTGTTATTCTGCTATGCACACAAAATATTGAATTGCATGCTTTAAAAGATACTATGTTCAAAAGAGATGAACAAAACTTCCTGTATACTTCCTGTATAACCTTTTTTATTATTATTATTAATTTCAAGGTAGAGACACACCTCTGCAACCTTTAAATTAGGGTGACAAGCAAGCATGCAAGCTGACACAGGATATTGATGAAATATTCATTCAATTACTTTTGTGCTTTCATTCTAGTACAGAAGAGGAGGCATCTTTTGACTATGAAAGATATATTTCTGGAACACCAGTTTGACTTCAGACACTATTTTATAAGCTAGTCTTTCAATCTCAAGACTATAAAATGAATGCACAATTCCTGTCACCAGTCATTTGAGCCTATGATCATCAGCATCCATGCTGATTGATTGTTGATCGACAAGGTGGATAAAATTTGACTGTGCTTTCTAGGACATGAGAGATTACTTCTATTTGAAACACAGAGGTCAATTGTTTGTTTTGTTATCTTTGCTACTTTAAAAATTTTGTAGCATTTTCTATGTCACATTTATTTCAAATATGGCCAAGTATACAAGTCTAGTTCCAAGAAGACTGACAGCATATACAGAGGTCTCTGCCCAAATAGGAGAACCTGGTAGCCAAGCTAGCTATGTCTTTAGAGCTCAGTTCCAAAGCCAGCAAGTCCTCTTGGGAGGCCTGGCTGCTGCCTTACACAATTCTGCTCTGCATATGGACATGGCAACATGATTAGTCTTAACCTGCACTGTGCTATGTGAATCTGTTTCCATGTATTTACTTTTACCTTGAAATCATAGGATTGTTTTCAGACCTTGAAAACCACTTCTCACTTAGCTGTCTCCTGCAGGTGCCCAGAATCACGTGTGCCTCAGTTACTGACATGATAGCTCCATATGTCCTTACAGCATTTTTCATGTTGATTACTTGTTAGAGTTTGGTAAGTTCTGAGACCACAGAAAATGCACAGAATATGGTAGTTTTTATTTGCCTGTATAATCTGCATCAGCCTGCTTCTAATATCTTATTTAAAAGCTGTTTGTTGACTAGCCAAAAGTGCAAGACAGGACTGGGTTCGCACAGCACTATTGATCAAATATGCCCGTTTATCTCTCTCCCTAACCTGAGTAGACCACACGGAAATACAGTACATCAGATAGTGCCAGATCATCTCCAAGAATACCATCGTACCTATAAACAAGCATAGATGTACACAGAAAACATTGTGGAGTCAATCTACAACTCAAGATCCTCAAGCTCTTCAATACACTGCATTTTTCACCTTCTATTTCTCTCTTGTTGAGACACGTTCAGCAAAGCTGACTCCTACTCTTTCTCTGACTGATTTCTATGCTGTGAAGATACCTCTCTTCAGATTAGTAACAACACTTTGAAATACTTACTAGAGATCTCATTCTATTTGCTTTCAACAAATCCCCTATTCTTTGCTGTAGCAAAACACTAATTCTTACATCCATTTAATGTTCAATTTCTTTGTAGCCATAACATCCATTTTGTTGATCTATATGTCCTAACCAGCTGCAGCTCTGTGTCAAACACATCCTGCATGTCGGTCCAGTAAAATTCTCAGTCAGATCCTTAGGTTCATCATCATAACAAGTGTTCTTTAACTGTCACTATAACGATTTGATCCTTGAAGGATATAAAAGGTTTCCTTTTCTTATCAGATCAAGGCACTCTTGGAGAGGTTGCAACAGACAACTTTTATAAGGAATGAGACCAGCTATGTCACTCGTACACAACCAGTTTCATGAAGGAAAAGGAGACTGCTTTGGTCTGACGTCTGCCAGCTCATTGGCTGGGGCTTACCCTGCCAGAAATAAATCTGCTGTTGATATCACTCCCTAGGAAATGTGACTTCATGGAAACAGTAGATTCACACAGATTAATGCTGAAAGATGTCAATACATCATCTCGTCTTGCCTCATGTGATTCACTGTGTTGTGTCTCCAAGTTTTGTTTGGCTACAGTGTCTTCCAAGCCAGTGTGGAACAAGTGAAGAAAGAAATTTTTTCACCAACAGTTAAACAGCCTAAGCATGAACACACATCTCTAGTTTTCTTCTTCTTCCAACTTACTCTGTTGTTCTTTCTTATACATGACTGTACCTGTTAGTAATCATCATTTTCTCCCTGTGAAGACACCAAACATGCTGCAATCAAATAACTTCTCAAGTTGCTGTCTGATAAGCAGAGTTGATTGAATTTTTTCAGTGTTTTTAATCACAAAACTCTATGCTAATAGAGACAGCTGTAATTTCAAACAGGACTATGCCATGTGACTATAACAGACTGAAAATTAAAGAAAAAGAAATCCCTGTAGAAGTTAATTATCATGTTCTTCAGTTAACAATAAAGCAGAAAGTATCCTACCATCTTACTTGTTACCAAAAGCAGAACAGTGACATTGCTCCATGGCACCTTTCTGCCTCAGCATTAATGCTTTCCATATCTCATGCATTATGGGCCCATACTTCTGTGTATGTGCCTCTGTGGGTTTCTTTGTGTTTCATATTTACTTTAACAAAATAATTCACATTATCTTGAGTCTGGACAAACAGATTTCTTTTCTATACTCTAGATTAAACTTTATTTTTAGATTAAACTGTGTAAATTTTCAGTACACCATTCTATTGTAGATTTCTTCTTTGAATAGCAACACAACAATAGCATCTTTTTGAATTCTCAAGTATTCTAAAATACATTTAAAAACAGTGGGAGGGAAATCTTTTCTTCTATTGCTCCTTTTATGTGTTTTTTATGTACTGATTTTTTGTTTTCCTGTTTCCATATTCTCTCTTCACTTCAAACTGGAACCCAGACGGGCTTTCAGCCAAAATTATCCTTTTACTTCATTACATTTCTTTGGCCCTATAAAAAGACCTTAACATTTATTCCCTATCTGAATGCTTCCTCTGTAAATATTCTAAAACTGATAGAAATGCCTGGGTGGAAGATGATTTGGCTAGTGATAATTTACTCAGAGATGCATTTAACGCACTTAGCTAGGATAGCTCCACTACAGACAAAACTCACTAATGCTTTATCTTCTTGGCAATAGCTGTTAGCCAGGCTGGAGCTACTTACGCAAGGATGTTTGTTCCCATAAACAAAATGGGGAAAAAAATATATAATCTCATAATGATTACTTTAAATGTAAATGTTTGTTCAATGCTGACAAAAGATTGAGTTGACCTTTGCTAAGCAAAATTTTCTATAGCTGCAGTTGAGTAGTACTGAAGGCAGGTTTTACAGGCTGTTACTATGTCTTCTCTGCATATTTAAATACTCCCTTTCACAGGCTCTGCTTTTTTTCTGAGCTTAGCGACTCAACTTATCTACAGCAACATTCCACAAAACATCACGTTGGCCTACGTCTGGAGTCTCAAAAAAAAACAGAAAAAATGAGAGGTGCATATGAACAGAGAAATACCTTGTTTTTTTGTTTTGCCAATATTTGTCAATAGCTTTTAGAACTCATCTGAAATACAAAAATCACAATTACTTGTTGTCTGCATACAAAATGCAATTATCTGAGTGAGCAGAAATTGATGTGTGTTGTCATGGGCAAAGGATAAAAAAATTACCTTGACCCAGAAACTTATTGCCCTGTACCACCGTCCAGGCTATGAAGAGTGATTATCCCATGCTTGGGTGAAAATGCTCTGAAGAACCCTGCCTGTAGGAAACAGATTTTCATCTTCCCTTCCTTCTTTTTAAATGAACTCTTTTGACTTCTGCTACTACCAGTAATTAAAGTTCCCAGGATGAAAGACACTGTAGAAATACAAAGCACTCTATAAGCCCTACAACACAGTAAGTATTATTGTATAACATGGACAAGGACTGATTCCTGGTATACAAGGCACTTTTTCACTTGAGGCATTTTCAAGATTTAACTAGTTTTAACATTTGTTTCTGCAGCACTTTGAACCTTTGATTGCAACTTAACTGGACATCTGCCATGTACCAAACAAAAACACTCAGTTCCCTCCTTATCACGGTAATGAGAAAAAACTTGCAAATTACCAAAACCAGGAACAAAAATAAATTTCAAATGAGGAAAGCTTTTTTCTTCAGTTAAGATTTGCTGGAGAAAAATCAAAAAAAGTTTACTGGAGCCAAAGATTATTGGAGTCAAAGGCTCCAAGAGTAAGTTCCAGTCTGCAACAGAATGGCAAGTATCTAGATTTGCCAAAATCCCAAATCTTTGGTGCCTCATGCATCCTGGGAGAACCTATTTCTCACACTTGACTTAGTTTCTCACAGAGTATCTAGACTCCAGGGCCATCAATGTGCCTACAGGAAAGTTAAAATCAGTTCATGGCTTCCTGGCCTGTCAAAGGTCTTCATTTAGAAAGGAGCATTTACTTCTGTAAAATCATCATGCAGATCTCAACAAAAGTAATTGTAATTTTATAATTATATAGCCACTTTTTGGTCAAGAAGGGAAAACTTAATCACATTCAGAAGTGTTTTAAAGGCTGCCACTTGGCATAAAACTCAAAACATTATCCCATTGCTCTGCTTTGGTGGCCTCTTCGTTGCACTTCAAAACACCAGAAATATGGAAATTCTGAAAAGTTCACAGGCAATGTAGCCACAGGGAAGACTGATTTGCTATTTGCATCCCCCACAGAGTTATTTTCCTTGTGAGTGGACACCATGCAAACAGATCATGCCTATAGAATCCTGTCTGCTATAAAGCCATTAGGCACTAGGTTACTTCTAGGCAAGATTTTCAACTACAAACCTTCATTGTGTCAATAATCTCTCCAGTGCAGCATTCCCCTTTCCCCAGCAAGTTACACCCCAAACCTGCTTGGGCAGTGCTGTGTGATGCACTCCCACATGTGAGAAAGCACTATTTAAAGCAAGAGGTAAAAGCAGCTCTGTGGATGTGACCAAGAACTGAGGAACCTGGCAGAAGAGGTGGGTGGCAGTTACCAGACATGTGCTTAATGAGTGCTGCTTGGTTTGCTGCTCTTGTCTTAACACACTTTTATGACACAGAAACAGTCTGAGGTAGGAATTTATTGCACGGTCCTACCGTGTGCATGACACGCATGATCAATAGCACAGAGAATGTATTGACCTCATGTAAATGAAGTTTACATGAAATTAACCTTTTGGTTACAGTAATTCTGTACTTTTGGCAAGTCCTTCCCATTAATTTCCGGTTACAAATGGACAAAACACGGGCAAATATAAATAGGCCCAAACTGAGTAAAAAGCTGTTAGAAAATAAAAATGAAATGTCTAAATCAGACTGAAATAAGCAATTTAACACATTTTTTAACAAACTTTCTGGTTTCTGCAGTGGAGGGGCCTACTGAAAAAGATGCATAGAGTGGGAGAAAAAACATGTAATCCTGAAGCTGAGGAAAGACAGAGATACCAAGGAAAGTCCCAGGTGCTTGCAAAAATAAGCAAAGCCTGTTAAAGCATCATCCTACAGGGGGAAAGGGATCAAAGACTTCTCCTTTAGAGACCAAAATCTTTCATTTGCAATATGCAGTTGTGTTCAATTTTAACCATACTAGAAGGAAAAACAGATATTACATTCTTTCAGCAACTATTTGCATTGACAAAATGAATTAGGCTTGTGTAGCATCATGGATTTATATGATTCCATCATGGAATGACAGTGTCACCTTTGCAATGCTTAAGCAAGCTTAAAAGAACACCTGACTTTTATTATCTATCATATGTAAAAGTATTACTGTTGCTTGACATGTCTCTTAAAAATACAGAAGATGCTTTTGATCCGACAAGGAAACTGCTTAACAAATTGCACAGTTAAAGTTGATTGTTCCCGAACCGCAAGGTGTGAAAAGTTTAAACATCTAGGAAAAAATCTTAAATAAAATATTCTCCAACAAAAAAAAACATTTCAGACACTTTGCATGTATTTAGAGATTTATGTCTAGAACAAACTACCTCTGAAAGTTAGACTAAAAATCGGATTTTGAAACTTCTGTTCTTGTGAAGGTCACAACCTTATGTGAAAAGCAATGAAATACCTTACTTATCAATTAACAAAATGGAGGAACTAGTAACTTCTGTGCCAATATTAATTAAAAGTGAGCTACTCTATTTTTCTGCTTTGCTTCAATTTAAATGTAAATTTTTCAGATTCTTCTATGTTAATAACTTTATAATGCTTACTTACAAGTATGTGAAAGAAGACTTTACAATAAATTTTCTAAGATAAAAAAAAATCTGAGTGTTAACTCTATTTACGAGATGATAGCAGTTCCAGGGAAAAGGTTTTGTTGGTGGAAAAACGAAGAAGAGTGACCCACAGTTTTGGAAATGCTGTTAAACTGGAGAGGAGAAGTGTGGAGCTGAGGTACACAGTGAACCTCCAGGAAGGAAATTTTATAAATCCTTGGAATGTCTGGTCAACATTAGAATCTAGGTAAGATTTTAGCTTCAGTGTATATACTCCATTTAACTTCACGAGAGTTTTACTACAAAAACTCTAAGAATGGCAATTTAGAGATCCATGAGAATTTCAGTATCTCCCAGGAAGGTGAGGGCTCCAACTATATCACATTTTTCCGTAATCAGATGGATGTCTTAGGTGGGGCACTGTGTCCTACACCAACAGCAGGCTACCTCTGCCCTATTCTCCAAACTCGAGTGCATTTGTAGTTACAACATACACAACTGAATAGACAAGGATTGGTATTAACACACTCAAGCCCAGTGAGAGTGCATTATGCACAAAAAAAGAAAAAGGTTAAATATCCATCCTGAGAACAAATCTTAAAACCACATGTCTCAGCATGCCCATTGTTCGGACTGCCTTTATTATCTGGTAACTTTTTAACCAAGCTACTAAGTCAAGGCAACAGGAAGAGTTAATATCATTAGCTTGAATTTCTTGGCTTATGCCATTTTCAGGCTAGTTTTAAAGGAGAATTATTGTGTGGAAAAATTAAGAAGTTTTATTGGCACAGACATGAAATGGACGAGTACATATATTAAGAGGATTAATTACACCCAGATTTATGCACATACTCATTATCTTCAATGCACAGAGATGTTTCCAAAATTAACAAAAGGAAGGATTATGCTTTTGAGGCAGTGGGAAGTCAAACAATCAAGGAGACTAAACTTCTCAAACAATCTTAATGAACCATGTCTGAGCAGAAGGCTGCTTACCTTCCACACAAGAGGGCTGAGCCCTCGTTGTCCCAGCCACCTGCCCCGGGAAGCAGGAGCACTTCACTGTTTGTGACCGTTCTTCAATCCGGTTCTTATTGCAGCAACGATGCACTGCCACAACTTCACATGTCCCTTGCTTGACTTGGTGCTGGCCTAAAAATCGCAGAGATAAGTTTTGGAGAGTAAAACAAGATAACATCAGTGCATGACGAAAAGGCCAGTTGGCTCAAATCTACAAGACATTGACTTTCTTGCACATCCATTAAATCCTAGGAAGATGAACAGGCAAAGCATCTGGTAGGACCTGGCTTACTCCCTGAAATTATCCTATTCTTTCTTACAAAAGTTTAATTCATCATAACAAATTAATTTTTCCACTTACCTTCCTCAGGCCTTAAGAAGCCATAGGACAAAAGGAGACTGTAGTCAGCTTGAAGAACTGGACAAAAAGACTTGCAAAAACAGACCACACTCCTCCTTCCCTTAACTTGCATTGTATTAGGTTTATTTTCAAGTTCTTTCTCTTCATACACAATGAATAGGATGAAATTTCTAACCTTCTAACATAACAGTTACATAGAGCAAAGCAAGTGACACAAACTCAGATTGTTCTGCTTTCCATACATGCTCCATATTTGCACAATTACCTGTTACTGACTAAAAGAGATAAAGAGACATACAGAACACCTTGGTCTGACACAAAACGGCCAGCCTTGCACACTTATAGAGGACTATCTTACTGAAGCCATGGAGATTACTGCACTTTTAGAGCAGGAATTTTTCCAATTTACTAAGTGGGAATTCTCAACCTCCAATAGAGTTAGCAAGGCAATTTAGGCTTCTAAGTAAGTTTTCCAAAAAACAGACAGCATTATCATAGATATGATTTTTTAAGGGTTGACTTGGCAACATTCCTTCGTTGCATGTGTTTGGAGAGCTGCCTGACTTTTGCTGCCAGGTTTGTATGCACAACCTCCTCAATGGACAGAAAGCTGTGCATATACAATCTTGGAAAGCATATTTAGTCTTCCATGTGTGCACTCAAAATGTAAAATTATATATTCAGAGGTACGTTTTTTTCCCTGAGTAAAAAGGCTACATTGTACTTTTAAGCAAAATATGCTGCAACAGGAAAATGCATAATGTATTTTACAGAAAGTTGGAAAAATGTTGAAGACAGCATAAAAGTATCTTACACAGTTGTATTAAGTTTATTGTTACCTTGAATTTTCATGTAAGAATCTATTACCTATATCATAATAACATAAAAAAAAGTAAAAACAGAAACCAACTTGTAGGACAGCAGCTTTTTTTGTAAGTCAACATGAAGAATAGATACACAAATAAAGAAAAAATTGACCATGCCATTTTATTCCAAAGTATTGTTTTAGGAAACACCTCTGCATGACAATTTTGAAGATAATAAATAGATGGACTGAGATTCTGAAAGAAAATATTTTTTAAATTATGTTTTTAGTTAAAGAGAGTATTTGTTTTTTTGATTACGGATCAAAAGGTCTAAGCCAAGACCCCTTGAAATAAATGGAAAAATCTGTATCTGTTTCCATAAAGTGCTTATAGTGGTGATCCTGCACTCCACTCAGTCAACAACAAGGATCCTATTAACTTCACTAGAGCAAGGTGACATTCTAGATTGTCTCTTGAGGGAAATATTTTATAATGAAGTGAAGAAAAGGCAAATATTTGGAGCACCATAAGATCAAACCACACAGTTAGCTATGTACCATATATGAGATCAAACAGTCAGGTCTTATTTTAATAAAAGTCATAATTCACAAGACATTAGATGGCAACATAAGATTGGAAGATGCTTTGTTGGGAAGTATAAATCCTGTTGGGTTTGTACATCATAAGGATGGACTATGTCAAGATCAAGCAATCAATACATAGCTGAAAAATGTCTATTATCAAGCCCAAATCCTGCTACCTTTAGGTAAAGAGTCCTGCAAGTCAGTACCAACATGGCTGAAAAATGTCTATTATCAAGCCCAAATCCTGCTATCTTTAGGTAAAGAGTCCTGCAAGTCAGTACCAATATAAATCAAGCACACTTTGGCCATGAGCCTGAAAAGCACATGGCCTGCTTTCAATCGACCTGTTTGAATTTTAAAGTAGTGCTACTGCTCCCCTAAAGTGCCAGGAATCAACAAGTACATGGATGTTTAAGTTACATCTCGGATGTGTCCTTTCCTTTAGTGCCTTTATGGTCCTGTATGCTCATTTGTGCTTCCCAAGGAGGCAAAAGCAGGTGTCCCCTCTCTGCCTGCTGCAAGCTTTGGAGTGCTAACCCTATTCTGAGACACTGCTGCCGTGGAAGAGGGCTCTTCTCATTTGTCCCCACTGTGCTAATCTCACGAACACTAGAATAACACTGTGAAAGGTACTAAAAAGCCAAAGACATCCGCATGCATCCTTTGAATTAATTGGATTGCCCTTATAATAGTTTGTCTCCTCCCACACATTCACATCTGTATTTCTACTGCTTATTCATGCACGTCTTTACACTCATTCTGTTGAACATATACATTTCCTCACAGTATTCAGGTATGACTGCGAACAACTGCTGAACAAATGCTAAGTGTTAACGTGCTAGTTCCCTGTACCAATTTCTCAGCATTCATCCGTCCAAAGAACGAGTCTTGCGCCACAATTTGAAGAGTGGCTTTCAAAGTTAACAAAACCCATAGAATCTCTTAAAAATTTAACCAGCAAGATAGATTATTCCCTCCTAGATCTACTGATCATATAGGAACATAAGAATACCCTCTTGCACGTTATAATTTCCACCCTGCACTAGATAACAAACTTTCATCTCAGATTTAAAGTATACTTAAAGTACAGCTGAGAACATAAAGACAGAAAAACTCATGATCAGCCTTAAAATATTTTAGAAACAATGGACTTCAAGGAAGTCTGAGCATTAGAAGAGCAGGGACCAAAGTATTTTAAAGTGTGAAACGCACAGTGAGTGAATTCCATGCCAGACACATCAGGAAGGCCATTTCAGGGAGAGTTGCAGCAAGAGATAGTTAGAAAACAGGCTCTGGAGAGCAAAGCCCCTGTGGGTTCACTTATAAAAAGCCCATAAATTCATACCTCTTCACCTGTAAACCTATTCAGACCTGCAGCCTACAGGCTGACAACATTTACAGTTGAAATTCAGTTACATATTCCCATTTAAATAAGAAAACTCTCCAAGGAGACACATTTTTGTCAGCAACAGTACCAGGGAGAGGTTCTTGTCATGGTACAGCCTCTCCATGCCTATTAGGGGACATCTGGCCAGATGCAGGAGAGGAGAGAAAATGCAGGGCTGTGGGTTACTTCTGTTCACAGGCGCAGCACAAGTTCTGCTCTCAATATCCCAGTTTATTTACAGCTTAGCTTCCTTAAAAATACCCGTGCTACTGCAGTCAACTAAAGGCAGTTTTTCCGTCTAGGTCTCTGTACAAGACATAAGACGTAACAGGAGAGGGGCTACTAATAGCAGCAATCCCCAGGCCACTTCCTGCTATGAATTTTGCTACCTTCTAGCAGGACAGATATGAGTAACAAGAACTCTCAGGTGCTCAAGTCCAGAGACTTGTCACAGGAAGGCTCTGTGACCATTTCTTTGTTTTCCAGCCCAAAATAACGTGGAGTAAGTAGAGCTTCTAGGCAGCCTTTACAGTTTGATTCTCAGAGAAGGCAGCCATCAGTTTTGAATAAGCTAGAAATGATCAGGCTTTCACCTTACAAGTCATCATAAGTGAGTGGAGTTGGCTCCCCACTGAACTGTTTATTCTCAGTATTTTTTTTTCAACAATTTTCAAGAAAAATATTAGACAAGACTGTTTTTACTTGCAGATATGCAACTTGTAAAATTCTTTTGAAAACCTCAAATAAAGAGAAACACAATTATTGTTAAAAAAATGACAGATCACAGTGATGTACTTCAAAAATACAAGAAAAATATTGAAGGAGGCTTTCAGAAGCTTGCAAGGCAGTTCCACCCACATCCATTTCATCTTGCTAACTAGTTCAAATAGCTCCCAAGGAGTGGTCTCTCAAAGCAATATACATACAGGCAGCATGCCTTTATGAGAAAACCTTAATCCTGGCAATCTTCCCCTTTTTCTAATTTCTTAGATAAGAAACATATGGAAAAGACACAAGTAAAGGGAGTTTTTAATATCTTTCATAAGCTGCTCTCTTTGATGAAGAAAGCAACTAGCACTGCTGAGAACAGAGTATCTAAACAATGGAACAACAGGACCCTGCCCAGGACATTCTTCAGGGAACCTCAAAGCCAGCAAGCTTGGTCTGCACAAAATCAACTGCATCATTTATCTAAAGTGTAAGAGCATGTCTGCCAATAAGGAGATGAACGGCTCTGGAGGCTAGTATCACACACAACAGTATGAGAAGCAAACGAGCTCAGAAGTCAGCAGAGATGCTGCTTGGAAGAAGAAAACACTCCAAAAAGATTGGTGTCAGTTTAGCATCTATTCGGCCTTCACCTCATACTATCTTTTGCTTGCACATACATGAGCACACAGAAGCACATGCGAAGAGGCAAATATTCCTAGAAACACATATATTAAAGAAAATAGGAAATGCTGTTTTTCACATTTTGCTATCAAATATTTTTACAAAATGAAAAATCTTTAGTTTACGAGCTGTGGATTCCTTTGTGGGGTAACAGTTGCTCTCTGCAGAAAGAGCTGAAAGTCACTTGCAGATTAAAGTCAACACACAATCTTCTAAGCTGAAAAAATTCGGCAAAAACTACCATTCCATTATCCATTTTGTTAAATAATAAATTTCATATTCACTTCAAGATCCTGACTTAGATTCTCTCTTTTCTCAAGAACACACAATATTGATACATACACTTCCTCATAAATTGTCTCTGAAGGTACAATTCAGTTCAGTTTCACTTGCAGTGAACTCACACTTTATTTCTTGGCAGTAAGGAACTGTTCAGAGACAGACCAGAACTGCCAAGAAGACCCAGTTGGCTGCTCTCTGGATACACAGATAAGAAGGATCTTCCCAAAAGCATCTGCCCACAACATTTGGCAAAGTAAGACATAGTGGGAAGGAAAAAAAAAAAAAAAGATGAGGGAGGCGAAATCCAGTTTGTTACCATT